GAGGTATTTATCCTTGAGAAGGAACATTCTTCTACCTCACAGTTTCCTTTTGTTCTCCAATAAAAGATCCTTTGCTCTCTTTATTCATCTTTTCTGTTTTTTCTTCCTTGGAATACTAATAATATTCTCTTTAATTATAGCCCTCAATTTTGTAAAAAAAAAAAAATTATAATGCTCAATTTCAAATACTCATTTAATAAATTGAGCTACATGGCACATAATATTTATCTGATTAATCTAAATTTGATTCAATTACTTAACAGTTCATTGAAAATCTCCTTTATTTTAAAGTTAATATTATTTGTTTGAATCATACCACATGATGTTGGATAAAAAAACTAACATGAATCCAAGTCTATTTAATAACAATTCAACAGACCAAACCAAAGTAATGAAAGTCAAATTTTCAAATTTCATTTGTATAATTACAATTAGAAAAAAAAAAGTGTTGTCAATAATTTAAATAATTTAATAGTAATCTTATTTTGCTGGAAGTAAAAGATTTTAAGTTTAACAAATTGTGCAACCAAAATAGAAAAAAATTAGGAAAAAAAAACCCTAACAATATGCATATTTCTTTGATGTAAGTTATATATATATATATATATATTGTTGGTGAAGCAATGTTATTAATTTTATACTAGTACCTTACTTGTACTACAATACATAATATTTTTACTGATGGAAAGAAACTTTGCTTGGTTGGCACAACTTCTTTAGATGCCTTTGTAGAATACTTCTCAAGTCATGTGTAGATGCTCTCTCACTATGCATCTAATTTACAACTACTGTAAATTTTTCATATATTTAATTTTTTTATTTTTTATATTTTATTTTCTCTCTCATAATTTATTACTAGTATTTTGGGATTATAAAAGTGAGACCATGGATCATCTGCACAAGGGCTGCAGCTGCATGCCATTTGCATAATCCTTACAAACCGCTTTCACATGGCACCATTTGAGCAGCCTGCAGAAGAATGCTATTATTATATACCGAGTTGGAAAATGATATTTGTAGCCCTGCCCTGCTGAAGTATTTACAATGATCTTGAATGAATAAATGCAGCTTTCAAATCAGTTCTCTGTTATAAAAGCAGAAGTAAAACTAAATTGTGTTTTCTGAAAAGCATGTCTAGCGTTTCTAGAAGTCGGCTTAACAAATTATATAAGACTTCTAAAAAGGGATCTAATTAGATGAAAAGAGTTGAGCTGAGTTTAATACTCACTAACTTAAAAATCTCTATTAAAATTGAACTTCTAAAAGAGCTCCAGTTAGGTAAGGAGAGAATAAAAGAAAATATGTTGTTTTGGTTGGCTCAAGAGAATCATCACACCAGCCTGGGGATCAAGTTCTTATTATTATTATTATTTTAATACCTACCTTAGGAAAACCCAGATAAGCTTTCCACCAATTTCACCTTTTAAGCAAGAAATGTCATATCTTATGTCAAAATATGGTATGGAATATAAAACAGGAAGTAATGATTGATACTCATTTTAACATGTCCAACCTTTCATCTGCTTTCTTATATTCTGCTTCATTGCTCATCATCAAATAATTAAACTCAGAACTCTTAAGTTCAAATATTATTTTAGATAATTTTAAATTTAAACGTGTTGTTATATACAAAATTACCTGTAAAGTATTCCTCGTTGGATTCAGAATTTTTAGGAACCTTCCATCTCCCACTGAAAATTCAGAAAAAGAAAACCCAAGTAAGAGTTTAAAATTAAAAATTAGAATTATGAGCTAATTCCAGAAACAGCTTAAGAAAGGAATAATTGTAAAGGGAAATTGAAAAGAAAAATGGTACATTGGCATTTTTGCTAAGATGGAAAAAACAGGAACATATGGACACATTAAATAGCTAACAGTGTGGGTGGCTGGCTGACTTTTATTTACTGGCCCATATCATATGCAAAAAAAGTTAACATATAGACAAAAGGTTTACTTCACATGGTGGGCATGTGATGTGAATGTACACTTACATCTCCTGTCTACCATGTGGATTAACCCTTACATTTATCTGGCACCAGCTAAGCACCCACCAAGTTGATTCTTTTCTTTCCTTTTCCTCCGTTCTTTTTACCCCAAAATTATGAGAACTAAGCAGATATACATCACACATTGTCAAGGAGCCCACCTAGCCAACAAGAAATAACTTCAAGTCTCAACCCCATGAAATGTATCCTTTTTTTCTGTTGAAAAGAAAAAGAAGTTATAGATGCATAATACTTTTATGACATTTGCCACTTTTTATGACTAATTTTTATAGGGAATATGAAAAAGAAGTAATAGAATAGGCAATTATAATGATTATAGTTTTAAGTAATAGTGGTATTTTAATCAACATCCTAATCAATAGTTTAATAGAAACTTCTATGGTGCTTTGTTCAACATATTGTGATTTTATTAATTGTTTCTGTTGCATGCATATAATAATAGCAGCTCAAAAATTCAGAGATGGTATTAGAAGCTGTCAGTGGTTTAATCCAGTGACGAGGACAGTCTGAATTTTTTTTGGATGTGAATTAATGGCATAAGCAGTAACTTTTATGAGGATAGGAGTACCCTTGTACTACAATAAATAATTAATTCATTTTTGCCTTTCCAAAAGAAAATTCAGAGATAGTAAAAATTCAGATAATCTAAAGATGGCTGCCAGAGCAAATGTCAAGCAATTGCAATCATGTGATGAGATTTCATTCTAATAATGTTGATGCTTCAATTCAAGGAATAAAGATAGTTTTCCGGGGAAATCACTAATTAGTGCATCATTGGAACATGGAAGCATGTGCATGCGAATAACAATGCCAAATGCTGGTAAAATGTTAAAAATGATGCAGAAGCAGATGCCATGATTAAGGAACGGATTAACAAAACTGTGATTGCCTAAAAGTACAGATTTAGTAAAACGGGTCACTGTGGATGGACCCCATGAAGGGCAATGAAAGCACCCAAAAAGCCTAAATTCAGCAACAGGGGGTGGAGGTGGAGGTCCCCATGCTCCACAAACAACAATTTACAATGGGAGAAGAAAGGGAGAGAGAGTACTAACAAAAAAATCACGTTCCTCTCACGTCCACTTCCCTACTTTTTTCCCTATGTTACTCATGTCCACTTCTCCTGATGTGAGACACAAAATAGATAACAGGATAAGCCTTTGCCACCAGACTTTTGTGCTTGGTAACACTCTAAAGGTTAACTTCCAAACGGCCCACAGGGTGAAAAAATTTTCATCCCACTCCAATCTAAGCTTTATACTGAAAACTAGAGGCAAAAAACCAAAAAGAATCCTAAAGGGCTTGCCAAATATGCATTAGTAGTCCTGATTGAAATTTAATATTTATGATGCAGTTAACAATCTCATCAGCTAATAGTGCCAAAGGCAAAACGATATCAAACACTACTCAGAAATTAGACCGAATCTCGCCAGGATAGACCATGAAAAGTGTTCTTTAGGCACTGAATGGAAAGCAAAGCATCTTGACACCACTTTCTCTGTAGTTTTCATCTCGTTGCTTTTGCTGATGTGATATCGAAGTTGAAACGTGAAAGTATGAGCCACAGCTAAATTCCTCCTACCAAGTTGGTGCACTAATTGATCTTCAATGCTCCTGTTCCTCTCCATAATTGTGTTTTATCTGCCACATTCATAACACATGTCATCACAATGTTACTGGATTCTATTTGAATAGCGTAGACCAGTGTATTAGCATATTATTAGTTGCCAATATCTTTAAATATTTATATATAGCACATATATTCAAACTCATAATTCTAATATCTCAACAAACCAACAGTATATAAGAGAGCAATATTCATGAAAATTATAGATTTCAATTCAATTTAACTTTAAAAATCGTATAATATTGTGGATGGTCCAAGTGTAGAAAAAATGAAAATGTAATAACAATAGAGTATGACCCTTCAACCCCTTCGGTCCTCTTCTGGTCCCCTTCTCTGGGCAGATATTAAACAGCTCACAAAAGTAAATTTAAGAGAATAAAAGTAAATGAAAAAATAGAACAATGGGGGAAAAGGAACGAAAATGACACAATTAGAGTGTCAATACAAGAAGTGATCAAAATACAACTAATGAAAGCCATGCCCTGGTTTAATTACAATATTGTTTAAGAAACGCAGCTTAACGTTATGTAAATAAGCATTATGCAAGGCTAGGCTTGAGCAACTATTGCTATACAGTCTGCATAATGAGAAACAATACTAAGTCCTTATAGAGATCTATTATTAGAGCCAAAATTAGTTAATTTGCACTTTTCAGCAGGGAATTGCAAGTCTGCAAGTAACAAATTAACAGATAATTCTACACAGTTCAGTTAAGGTTCCTGCAAAACCATAAAGACATGGTTGTGGTTAAGTAGTATTGCTATCCCTATCATCTGTGACCTATCACTTGCTTTGCTAATTTATAAACGGTCGCTTCAAGAAGATTTTCAACAGCAAAGAAAAATTAATTTTCATTTGATCAATATATATATATATATATATTTTCGGCATGACAAGTTAAAGTTTCCATAAAGAGAAAGAAACCCCATTGCCAGTGATAGCCACTATTTAGTCTGAAGAACAATTAATCGCATGGCAGGTTCTGCAATGACACTGTGATATCAATAAATATGCGTAAATCAGACAAAAATGTACCTGTACTGCTGTACACACGCACCCCTAAGTGTACTATCATCTTGAATTACTAGAATCAATTTGGAAATAGGTAAAATAACTAGTAGGTTTGAAAAAAAAAAAAAGAGAGGATAACTGTGTATACTCGTGTCTCAGAGTTGAAGATTCAAATATTGTCGCACCCAACACTCCTTTCTCCATTAAGTAAAAAGTTCTAGAATTATTCCAAAAGATAGCAAAAGATTAAAATGTTGAAAAATATTAATTAGTAAACTGGCAAAAGAAAAAGATAAGATCCATTAAAACATGGCCCCAATAAGGTTCATAAATATCCAAACAATATAATTATTATTTCTTTTACAGCATGAAGCCTGACAAAAACACTTATCCTGAGTAACCCTTTCAGCTGCTTAACACTAGCGTCATGACAGGTCATAAAGCCGTTTTCAATCTTTAATCACGACAAGATTGTATAACTACTGGTTGTACTTTATAGAAAAACAGGAGTGGATCAGACTGTTAATATGGCCTGGGTGAAAATTCAATAGAACAAGGGAAAAACAGAATCAAACAACTTTTACTAGCCACAACCCAAAGTTATGAACTCCCATATAATCATACAGTTCTCTGCAGTTTCATCTCTGAAAATCATTATAGCCAAAAGGACTACAATATCGAGTAATTTATGATTGCTGAATTTCTGTGGACTTTTCCATTAAGGTTTCCCACATCTTTTACATCAAATGAGCACAACCACAAATATAAAGTATCATCTATTTCTATTGTTAATTTTCACCCACCAAAATCAATGACCTTCCCATGCTTTTTATATCCATGGACATAATATTATAAACTTACCATATGGCTGTTGGACTTCCACGGACCTTTTTCTAATTGCTTTTGGACAACTTTCACATTTACTTAACATGTTATAATCTTCTATATTGTTCTACAACTCAATTTCACCAACGAAATAAAAGTACTTACAAGGATAAGAGATTGAACAGACCTATGTTTGCTGAACTTCCATGGACCCTTTAGTGCGGCTTTCCTAACTACAAGTAAAAGAAGTCCAAGTGTCCACTCCATCTCATAGGATGTAATTTACCCACGGCAACATGAAGCAAATTTTCATAGATTAATCCAAAAGGGAGAAAAAAACAATAGTACCCAGAATTTGAATGTTAAGGATCAATTGTCAACCACAAACAGTTATATACAAAGACAGACTATCATTTTAGAAATAAATAGTTTGCCACGGTGCACTGATGTAACTTCCTCCCATAGCTTTCCAATTTCACAATTTGGTAGCTGGGGCTTGGGGGCAGAGGAAAAGAAGAGAATAAGAATTAAATGATGATAAAAAAACACATTATGTACCTCCATCTACCTAGTTATCAACTCCAGTACGATTCTAAAGAGGCAAATTGTTTGTTATGGACTAATATACCATGCCTAGCCCAAGTCAAAACTAAGGAAAAAAAGGGTAAAACAAACACAGATGCCTCTCTGCCTGGGGAATAAATTAACTAAAAGAACCATTCCCATCCAGCACAAAAACAATAAATGGATTAAGAACAAATTAGAAACTTACAGTTTATAACAATATGAAGAAGCCTGATTAACAAGTGTATAGCCAAAATCTGATTCAATAATATATATGGTTTGAATTAAGAAGAAAAAATTTGAAACTAATGTGATTATATCATTACATGGCTACTTGAAGCTCTGATTCAGATGGCCACGTGCTCAGAAGCACAAGAGTTACAACCTTGTGGAAGAAAGAAACAGTTCCAGGCTTGAGCACTGACGAGTCAAGTTAAATTGGTTTAGAGTTCAAGTACCGTCCATAGTGGTTGGTCAAGCTTCCATAGACAGAGGGCTAGCCCTTTCTACTTTCATTTCCCCCTCAATGCACTCATTGTACACATGATCATTTGTGTGCCCACTCTGCCCATTCTCTTCCCGTATGTGTACATGCCTTTTACGTTTGTGTGCTCATGATCAAGAGTATTGGTTCAAATAAAGAGTAAAGAAAACTTCATACGAACTAGAAGGTATTAAATTGTCTAAGAAAATTAAGCAGGTGTTAAGGATCCTCCAGAATTTCAGCCGGACAGGATGATTAAATAAACTGAGAAATATTCAAAGATCAGTATCTTTCTTTGGCTATCCAAATGTCAGTATGCAGTTTGAAATTTTCAAACACAATCAATCATTGCTAGAACCAGTCAGTTTCAACATGGACAAACTATCAACTACCTGTAATGTCAATGAATTGATAGATCATAAATGCAGTTGAAAATCTCCGGACAAAACATCATTCCATCACCTTTTATTTTAGTACCAGAGCATGATTCCTTCCAGAAAACCATACATTAGTAAGTATGCATCATGGGAAAATTAATCTAAAGCTCAATTGTTATCTTCTGGAAGCATAAGTTATCTATCAACTGGAATAACCCAAGTTTCCAATCTGCAACAAACTGACAAAAACCTTCGAATGTAGAGGGGGACAGTCAGTACCTCCTCCACAAAGCCTACATATATCTAGACAGATCAAAGAGGAAGCTGAATATAAAGAAAGCATGCCTAGAGAAAAGAACAAAGAGAAAATAAACCTGAACGTCAACCATAACAAAATTACTCATATCAATTAACATACAGCATTTTAAGTTGTGTGAACAGAAAGTTGAACAAGAGATTGAAGGATAATGTCCATAAGCTACAATACAACATGCCAAGCAATTAGAGAAAAGTATACACTCTGAAACCATCAGGAGAAAAACAAAGTCATATTAAATATCCAAACTAATAATTTATATGCACCGATACATAATAAAAAGAAAATTTTCCTGCCAAAAGTTTTTCTAGCGTAGGCAATACCATTTCACTAAGGCAAAACAACAGCAACTAAATACTGGCATTGTCACTATACTATGTTTACAAAATAAAAGCAGGAAGATTCATAATTTTCAACAGAATCCCAATCCAATATGTGACACTCCCCATGGAGAATCAATAGCAGCTTACCAAGAAAAGTGAAGTTATCTTGCATCCAAGGCCTGCTATTGCAACAAACAAAGTTGCACAGGAGCAACTATCATCTAGTCAGCACCCAGTTCCTTTTGCTTCAATGCTAATGCCAAATGTTCATTCTCAAGCTTCATCTTCTCATTTTCCATTCTCAGTTTTTCCAGTTCAGAGTCCTGTTTCTTACTAAACCTCTGCCACTTGAATCGCTGTTTCTCCAGTTCCAACATCTCAGCTTGAATTTGTAGTTTCTGTTCTTCCAACTGAAGTGAATGAGATTCAATCCATTGTTTCTGTAACCAAGCTGCTCTTGAACTTTCAGACACGCCTTGAGTCATGTCTGCTTGGGCAATTTGTGGATGAGGATAAAAACTTTTATTGCTCTCCTGAGAATTTACAGGATTCTGAAAACAGACATCATCATGGCCCTGCCCTTGTCTCAACCTCTTTGTTGAGGCCCCTAAGACCCCAAACATTCCTCCTTTATCCCCATGTGAATTATGATTCTCCTCAAATTCATCATGTTCATCAGTTACCATTTCATGATCATCGTCATCAAGATCATCATTTTGATGCCTCCTTGCATCATCATTATCATGATCATCTCTACTTCTCAGAGCCAACTGTAAAGAGTGCTGCAATGCAGGATCATCAGGAAGATGCAATCTATTCCCATTATGGTAAGAACACATCTCTTCATAAAAAAGCTGCTTTGAGCTCAAGATTTTCCTAACATCATCCTTTTCTTTCTCTGTCAAATAATCTAGCACATCCAAAATTGCAGGGTTCTCAACAACCCGACAAGAAGTTCCCCTACCAAGCATATCATTAAGTTTCTTATACCTTTTATTCAGGTCATTGAACTTATCCTCACACTGCTGAGGCGAAACATGACAACCCCTCTCAGCCATAACCTTTGACACAGATTTCCACTTACCCTTTTTCTGTAAAACAGAAAATTTCCTTCTTACCCCACCACATTCCACTGCAATATCTTCCCCTATATAAGACACAGCGGTAATTAGAAGCCTCACCATCTTATCGGTCCACTTTACACGCTGCCATGGAGATCCTTTCTTCCCTTTGTTTGCATCAGTGTGGCCATCAGTACCCTCTTCGGTAAAGCTTGGCTCATCATCGTCACTCACTGAATTTTTCCCTCTGTCATCCTTATTATAATCTGTATTTGAAATTGTCTGATCACAGTTTTGCATGGTCCCCATTGTGAGTGGGAAACCCTCATGAAGTACAGAAGACCCTTGGTGGGAGTTAGGGTGCTGATATTGTTGCACATTATGTGGGTGTTGCGCATGATGATGAAGTCTCACCGACCCTTGCAAGTCAAGGCCCACAAAAGAACCCCCACCTGGAAGCATAGCTCCTCGTGATAAATTTCCTTCCATTGTTTATTTTAAACTACAATTGCTATCAGAAACATAAACTGATTTCCTCCAAAAATCTAATCTATCCAAAACACTTCCTTTAAGGAGTCATCCTCAACTCAAACAATTTGTAGAACAAAATCAGAGCATGACCATCGACTGATTTTCCCTTCTAAAGCATTTCCAGCTATGAAACAAGTCTCAACATTCAACAGAGAAATTAACAGAGAACCTAAAATGAACAACAAATTAAACCAAATATGAACCATTTCCAGATTTCAACACTAACCCACAAATCTACCAAACAAACTTCAACAGTGCAAATCAACATACCAAGTAATAAAAAAAACCCAGCTCTAAAATCATCAGCACGTCAACAAAAAGCTACCAGAACTCCAAAAACAAAAGCTTTACTCAAATACCCATCAACAAAGAAGTAAAGCTTACTTATCCACACAAAAGCTCCAATACCCACAAGGCCAGAAGCGAATAGGAAGCTCCCACTTGGCAACTTCCAGTGGTCAAGCCAGGAATGCAGCGTTTAAGATCACAGAAATCATTTTCTATATATTAACTCTGGGTCAGAGACTAGTAGGAAAGAAGTTCTGAAATCTGAATGGCATTTTATATGTGAGGGTTTAGGTTTTTGTGTAATACATTACATTATAAATGAAGCTCAGCGCCCTCTGCGCAGGAAAAGAGGAAGATCTCTTAATACGCCCCTTAGTTTAATTTCTCTTTTCCAATTTCGCTCCCATACTTTGTTTTTGGGCTAATTAAACCCTTTCACTTTATGTTAAATTGAATTGAATAACAGAGCTGTGATGTCTCTATTACTAATATCGTAGTCATTTTCCTTATCTTCTGCCAAAGCTGACACGATAGGTTTGAGAAAAAAAAATGTTGGTTTAGTGATATAAAAAATTACTCTTCGTTTGTATATTTAGTTATTATTCTATTTTCTATTTTTAAAAGATATAAAATGTTATTATTTTAATTTTACTTATATTAATAATTTAATTTTTTTTGAACAAATTATAATTATTTACATGTGTTAATTGGGAGATGGGAAAAGGAATTCTATGAAATTTAAATATGCAATTCACAAAAAGTAAATAACTCTAATTCATGATTCATATCACTGGATCGGAACGAACTATTCATATTAATAATCTAATTTATTAATAAATGAGAAGCAATTTTTATTAAAAATAAATGTGATATTTCAATTCTTAAATATTATATTTCTAAAATTTTCTTATGATGTCTTTATGATTATACAACTTGAAAGTGAATAATTTAAAAAAAATGAAAAAACTGTTGACTTTTGTCCGGCTTAGATTTCACATAAGATAAATTGACTAAGCAAATTATTAATAAAAACACAGAAGTCGTTGGTCAAAAATTACAAAAAATAAAAAATAAAAACATAAAAGTCCAATGTGTGACTTTTATTTTTCAAAAATCTAGCGTTGGCAAATTTAATTCCTCAAATTTCCCCTAAAATGGCTATGTACAAACTTACACCATTTTATCACCCGACTTTCTCCATTAACTCTGGCTTTAATTAAGCATAATGTGTAGTACAAAGGTTTAATTGGTCTAGCAATAAATATAGAGTAAAATTGATAAATTAAACAAAATCTAAGGGCTAACTTAGACGTTACTTCAGAAGTAAATATAATGTTATTATAAAGTAAGGACTTTTCAGGTTCAATGAATGGAGAAAGATCTGGTGGGTCCATTCACATATTTTATATTATAAACCCCAACAAGTAGCTGCATATTGTTAAGGCCACTAAGTAATGGTTGTACTTTTTTATAAAAAATCTTAATAGTTGTACTATTTTAAATAAAGTATTTGTCTTATTGTACTTTTTTATTTTAGATGGTACCCAATTTTCTCCTTTGTTTTTTTAATTTTATTTATATATTATATAATTTAAATTTAAAAATTTTTTTAATAAAAAATTATTACGAAATTATTTTATTAGTTGGCCTGTCTTATCGTATTAAATTTTTACTTTGTTGACCATTTTTTTTTTATTTTAACATCGGAGAGTCGGAAGAAAGGGAATTTCTTTATAGAGTTTTAAGACTTTAAGGTAAAATTTGAACAGCTTACGGCCCAAACACTTAGGGACTGTTTGGTTGGGAATTTTTTGTTTAAATTTTTTAAAACTTTTTTTTTTGGATTATTTATATATTTTTATATATTAATATTATAATAAAAAAATAAAAATAATATTTTTAATTTTTATTTTTAATACAATTTTTAATTTGTAAACTTTTCTTTTTACATTTTTTTAAAAAAACTTCTTTTTAATTTCCTTTGTGTATGACATATTTAATAAATTTTTTATATTAATTTTTTGAAAAATATAAACAAATTAATAACATAAACAAAATTTCATAACAAAATTTATTAACTTTTTATAAAATATTTATAGATTTTTTAAACAATACTTTTTTAATTGTTATCATAGAAAAAACTTTCATGATAAAGTTAGGGGCTATTTGTTTGTTGAAAAACTTTCATCTACTGATAAAGAGATAAAAAAAAAAAAAAACAATATAAGGGATGATTTTTATGAGATGAAATTGGAGGATTACTTACATGACTCGCCACATATGCAGTTATAAAACACACTTGTTATGTAGGCCAAATTAAATGATTGATTTGGGTTTTGATTTAAAAAAGTAAAATTTTTAATTTATCAATATTGATTTCTCTTCCGTCTTCATCACTCTTGAGTCTCAACCCTAACCATCCGAATCGAAAATGAGGAAGAGGAGAACTAAACAAATTGAAGAGGAGAAACAACCAAATCGACGACTTCATCGAAGACACATAGAAATCAACCCAAATCCCATGTAAAAATAAAGCTAGTTGAAAGTCAATAGAAAAAATCGAGCAAATTTAGTTTCAACAGAACTCACCAAATCGATGCCCAAAAAAACAACTTTTGCATAGAGAGAAGAATTCTACAAAGAAGGAAGGCAACGCAAGAATAGGAAGTGAAGTGAGCAATTGGGCTTCAAAGATTTAGAATTAAGAATTAAGTTAAACTCTTTTTATAAATTATCCCTCCCAACAAAATAAAGTTACATATGTGCATGTTTTGTTGTGTGTCCGTACATGTGGCAAGCCAAGCACGTGGTCCTTCAATTTTGACTCACAAAAATCATCTCCTGTATTATTATTAAAAAAAAAAAAGAAGTGATTTTTTAAGTTGGGAAATGAAAAATGTTTTAAAAAAAGAAACCAATAAGGTTGAGGGACAAAATTTGTTCAAAATCCATTTCTATCTTGGCCGAAAAATATACTTCTTTTCTCATTTTCAGGCACTGACTGATCTCTGCGGTGCAACAGAAGCTTGAAATGTTTATTCCGAAAAAAAAAAAGAAGAGAAGCTTGAAATTACAAAGAAATTACAAAGGTTCTACATTCATCAATTTGATAGAAAGAGATTAATTGAAAATAAATGGCTGATAAGAAAATTAAAATATATGAGAAAGAAGATTCTAAAGCAGATCTATGGATCATATTTCCTTATTCCAAGATATAATCTTCAATTAATTAATATAATAAAAAGAAATTCTATATATACAATATTAAAACAACCAAAAAAAATCAATGTAATCACCTGTACATCGTGAATAATCAATCTCTCTAATTATGTTATTCACAAAGATGAAAATAACCTTCCTATTTCTTTTAGAAGAAGAAAAGACCAATTTTAAAGAACTCTATAACTTGTGTGTTTGAGGTAAAATAGTGTATTTATTATATGGCTTTATTATTAATTCGTATAAAAAAAATAAAAATTTACTTTAATTTTATAAACTATTTTAATTAAAATATTCTATATAATATTAATATTGAAAATAAAATTTTATTTCCATAATTTTTCATCTTTACTATATTTGAAAATTAGGTATAAAAAAATCCTCCTAAAAATGCTCACTCCTAAAGCCCAAACGAAGTGGACTGAAATCTTTACTAAAATACCCAATTCACTACTTTTCATTCAGCCCAACTTCTATCCTAAGGCCAACAAAGTGGGCTAGCAATCTTCCATTTTAAGACCCAGTTTAGTGCCCCACCGGCCAAACCCAATTTCCGAAACCTCATTCACCGTTTTGGCCATTGCAAATCATCGTTGGGTTTTCTTTCTTCCCTTTTTATTTTATTTATCTATTTTATTTTATTTTATATTTTGGGTCGGCACGTAGGCGGTTTTCACCGTCTTCAATTCAATGTGGGTGGTCTAGCGCCATTGTGGTTTAGAATGATGTCAGGAAGTAGAATGAATGTAAAATGGTTCAGTTTTTGCCGATGTAGAGTCTTCCTCTATCTCTCTTCTTATTGTTCTTAACAAACCCGCACCTGTGTTTTATTTGTGATCTTGGTGTTTGAGTTGTGAAATGGCGACTGTTTATTGTGTACAAAGAGAAATTATTTTGATATCTTCCTCGCTTTCATCTTGCAATTATTTAAATTTCAAGTGTTGTTTTCTCTACAAATCTTGATGTTTGTAATTAAGATTTTATTTTGTTAGAACTCTCAAAAATTACATCCATCTATAGTTATTCTAACAATTAATTCAATTTTGAATCAAAACTTCCTATATGACATCTGCTTTGCTTCTTCCATTGTGCTTGATGATTGAATTTTAGTGATAAAAAGGCCATGGACAACATCATCAGGAAGGGAGAAGAATTTTAAATTATACAATTCATCCAAAATGCGATCACAAAATTAGTCCAATCTCTAAGGTAAGCTTTTTATTTAATCTCGATTTTAATGTTTAACTTTTTAATGAAATGAAACCAAAAGGAGAAAGAGAATACTGGAGTT